CTCTCTAGACTGGTTTGCATATTGCAATAAATCGCCTTGAAAATAAGCTATGGCGGGTTGGTTGTTCGCTTATTAACCTGGGTTACTCCTAACCAATTTTCAGGCATTCTGTAGTTTATCATGGCTGCCAGGGGATGGTGAAGGATAGGAGAGCCTGGAGGACTGTTGTCCATGGGGTCACAATGGGTCAGATACAACTTCACAACTAGCATAAGCACAGCATAGCATTTCTTTCTTAGCCTTCCCACCCAAGCCTACTTAGGTTCTACCACAAAAGCCCATGTGGTACATGCCAGGAATGCAAACATGCTCATTAACAGAGCAAAATTTATTTTGTAGAATTTTCTTTCCACTTTTGGACAGTTCAGTACAACTTAACTTTTAAAAAATCAAGGAAATGCATGCAAATCCCCTAAAGTAACTAATGTTAAATTGCAGGCAGGAGGGGGAGTTGTTGCTTTCTAGGGAGGTAATGCAGTAAAAGATTTAACTGACTAATCTAACTTCAAGACATAATAGAGAGGGGGTGATGTTAGTGAGATAACCAGGAATAACCAGATTTGTCATCATCCTGGCTAGGCTGCCTCCTCACCCTTTCCAACAATCCATCATTCCGGGTTCACACGTCATGAGAATACAAACTGGAAATCCAACAATAAGCCTTGGGTTGTCATGGTGTTAGCATGACTAACAGATAGCACTGAGGAAACTGTGGCAGGTTCAGCACTAATATGGGTGACAACCAGAAGTGGGTTACCTTCTCTTCTTTGGCTGGGTTCACATGCAATGAGAAGCCTCCATGGATGACTTTCTGCATGAGGCTTCTCAATGCAGTGTTTTGAACATTTAAGGTGTGCTGCAGGAATAAGGTAGCTTCATGTTACATGCAAATCTGGGAAAGATAGGTTGTGGTAGGCCATCCACAAACCTAAAACAGCCTTAGTTCAACCATCCCAGCAAGCAGCCCTCAATAGGTTTGTACAGTATTACATGTTCTGACTCAAATATTTGAAATGGCATGGCCAGCACAAGAAGAAGCCATCATGAGCTACACCCATGGTGACTCCTTGTTGTCTGCAAACCAGGCCACTGCTTATCTGACTCCTAGACTAATGGGGCCAGCCCACATGCAAACTCAAAGTGTGATTATCTTTTTAGACTTCCTTTTGAGGTGCCAGTTCGATTTCACTGAATGGGATAATTGTAGGAAAGCAAAAATCAAAGCAAGATCCCAACACCCACTCAAGAATAAATAGCTTAAGGAAAGCATTTTATGGTACTCCCTGGGCTTATTTTTCAAAGCCTTTATAATACTAACAGTGTTATCAATGTGCCTCAAAGAGTCATACAATCCTTTAAAGTGCAATGATATGACTCCATACCTTGTACATAGACCTTTTAAGCTGTTTAGACTGATATTAGCTTTGTTAAGCTGGGCAACAAATATAGCTATTCTTCTTTAAAGGGTGCTGTTTCATGTATCACCTCCACTTAAATGATGGAAACTGGAAATCTTCACTGTATGCACAGCAGCTTGCCTCACTTTCCTGATCACTGACCAGGGCCATCCTGAGACACTTTGCTTTCTGGGACAAAGGGCAAAATGTTTCCCTTGCCCTATATACCATAGATGGCTCCAGACTGATAGTTGAACATTACTTCCACACTAATCCTGGAGCATGCCCAGCTCTGTCTTCCAAGACCTTACTAATACTTCCTCATACCTATCAGCTGCTCATTGCCAGTGCCAGCACACATCACATAGGTAGAACCGTGTAGCACAATGCCTGCTAAAGTGTAACTCCTGAGCCATCAGCCATTCTGACTGTTCAGTTTCTGAAGGATGCTATCTGTGACCACAGGGAGAAAGTGACTAAGCAAGACAGACAAACAGAACAGACCAGCATTAAGTAAAGTAATGGAGCCCCTGGGCTTAGGAGTGACTGTGGAGCCTAGGGGAATGGCAATGGTGCTACCTTCCACCTTTCTCTGGCTGAGTTGACCACCACACACTTGCTAATGGTAGGGCTGTCTCTGTAGGAGATTATGAATAGGCATCATTGCTTTGGAAATGGAAAGTTACCTTATAGCAGTTACACTGCCCATCTAGTAGAGACACTCCAGGATGTCAGGGAGAGGTTTTTTCCCCAGCCCCTCTGCAGAGCTGGTGTTTAGAAGGAGCCCATGAGAGCTGGACCCCCAGATCTTTCATTTGGCACCCTGAATTTTTGGGAGGCCATCTGCCCCACCTCTCTGCTTAACATCTGGACTTAACTTACCCACCTCCCTGGTGATTTCTGTTTCATCTCTTGCCTCTGAGTAGCTGGCTTTATGCTGAAATCAAATGTCTTCCCCTCCCACATGCACAGATAAAGAAGTCTTAGGACACAGGGTCCTTTACAGATTTTAGAACGTCTGGAAATTAGCATATGTAAATAAGTGCTTTTTTATTTGTCTTGTGAGCCTTAAGTTCCAGATATTTTTATTACCTAACACTGCCCCTGACCTGATCCATGTTCCCCATTGAACTGGGGGTGCCGAGTGGCTAAACCTAGATGCAAAGAATGGGCTCTTCCAGTGAACTGTAGTTCCTTCCAAAATAAGGGAGAGCGCTCTGCGTGGGAATCATGCTCCATTTTTTAGCAAGACAGAGGGAGATATTGGTGACCTGAACAGTCTCATATCATGGCCACTGCCAAATCTTGCCCTGAGTTTAAGTGTCTTCACCTCCCCTACAGTCATCACACAAGTTAGATCATAGTGTGTTCCGCTTAAATTCTGCTTCTCACAAAAGCGGATCTGTACCTCTTTCTTTGCCTGCATTAACTTGCTGAAGAAATTTAAATCACAGAAAATCTGAGCTGAACTCCCAAGAATGTATCCATAATCCATCCTTTGAGTCTCAGCCAGGATGAATTTGGCATGTAATATTCCCTTGCAGTAATTCTATAAACAAACGGTAATGATAAATCATGCAATTTGAGATTACAAACATAATGAGCCACATTGAGAAAATTAATTCTACATGCTTTCAAGTTTAATCTCTGCCATTATTTATTGCACTTTGGGTTGTCAAGCAATTGCTAAGGAAGTGTGTTGAGCTGAGCTAGTTGAAAGCTGCATTATAGAAGATTCTTTCTTGCAGAACAAGTATGTTTGATTGCCAATAGCAATCAATTGGTGAGAGAATAAATGTGCAAAATGTAAAAGCTCTTTATATCATGCTTTAGGAACTAAATATATCTACTACTGGTTAAACCTTTCCTTTTCCCATTTTTGCTAGCCCTTTATCAAAGCTGCCTTTAATCCTTTATCTACCTGACTTTAATCCCTGTAACCCCCAAACCAAGGACTGCCTGCCAGACTCTGAGGATAGCCTGTCAAGGATTTGATAAAACCACCAGATTTTTATTTTATTTTTTTGCCCTGGTTGGGATTATAAAAATTGCAAGACCATGATGTATGTCCAGTGAGCTGCATTCAGCCTGCCGGATCATAAATGCAGGCATAGCCCAGAACAGTTGTTCCTCCAGAAGTTGTTGCAGTGCAAGTCCCATCAACCCTCACTATTAATTATGCAGGCTAGGGCTGATGGAAGTTGAAGTCCAATAACTTGATCTGTCTTACCTAAACAGTAATTCCTCTGGGCAGGAAGTGTGATATGTTGAACACCTAAAACCTGGATTAAATAAATGGGTTTCATATTCTTCTTCTAACAAATAGTGACACAATAGTGGAAGCTTGGAGAGAGGGGACTTAACATTACCCTCTTCCCACCACATATATATTATGATCCCTATGATAAATGTGGTTCCAATACCAATGGCAGTTTCCTTTCTGTGGATGTATTTGCATATACATATAATTAATATAATATATAAGTAGTAGTAATAGAAATACTTTTTATTGTATTACATTTATTAAATTATTTTTACATTTATTTATTTCTATCCTGCCTTTTTAATGCAAGAAACGCAAGGAGGCTGGCATGATCCCCTCCTCTCCCTTTTAGCCTTACAACAATTCTATGAGATAGGTTAAGCTGAAAGTCTGTGACTGGCGCAATGTAACCGTTAGCCTTCGTGACTGGGTGGGAACTAGAATCCAGATCTCTTGAGCTCCCATGTGTCACTGAAACTGCTTCACTAAATTACAGTGGTACCTCAATTCACGGACGCTTCAGTTCATGACCAAATCGGGTCGCGAACATAAATGTTGGCAAAATTTTGCCTCCGTTTGCGAACTCTGCATCGGGTGATGACCACAATCATGGCCAAGTTCCTGCACGAACATGATTGTGACCATGGCCATCTTCCCCACACGAACACTCCAAACAATAACCTTCCCCCCATCCACCACGAAGGGGAGCCATGAGGACGCGCTTACCTCAGTCGAGGCCTTCCCAGCTCCTTGCTGCCATCCCGCTTCCAAGCCAGAGGAAGGTCCCCCTCACAGGCGTTCGTCTGGCTCCAGGAGGAGGAGCAGGGGCGGGAGGCCAGAGAGTACGGTGTGGAGGGCTGCCCCGGCCAGGAGAGGGCCGCGAGGAGGGAGGTAAGGGCTGCTTTCCAGGGGCCAAGGTGAGGGGAGGCAAGGGATGGGGCTGTGGCCAGCCAAGTGGGGCACCTCCTGCCTCTCCCTGCCACAGGGGAAAGAAGCATGGCAGCCACTCAGCGGCAGCGGCTTGTCCTGAGAAGGCTGCGGCAGATGCATGGGAGCTGCAGCCCTGCTCCTGCTCCACCTCAGCCCATCACCCTGCTCCCGCTCCACTTGGCCTGCAGCCTGGGGGCATGGCTCATATTTTTGTGGTTAAAAAAAAGTTACTGAACGGATTAACCATATTTACATTGACCCTTATAGGGAAATTTGACTTGGTTCGCGACCAATTGGGTTGTGACCGGAATCGTTGAATGAATTAAGTTTGTGAACCGAGGTACCACTGTATTACTGTTGTTGTTGTTGGATGATGGTGATGGTGATGATAATGATGATGATGATTCCAGGGCTGTGCCAAAGTTTATGAAGAGGATGAAAGTTCCAGACTACAAAGATAAGAATATTTTTGGTTTACCTTTAATAGTCCATGTGCAAAGAACAGGGCAACCCCTTCCTCAGAGCATTCAACAAGCGCTACGCTTTTTACGGAACAATTGTCTGGATCAGGTAGGTTCTAATTTTTGTTGGTTATGGGTGTACAGTTTCCCATGGGAGCTTTATTTCTAGCTGAATCCCAAAGTTGTGGGTTCTGTGTTGTTTTTACTTTTATGCTGTGTGTAGCATAACTGCAGCACATAAAATGTAACCAATGCGCTGGAAAGTCTTCCACTTTTGCCAGCCCAAGATGCTGCAGAAAAATGATGCTGTAAAACACTGCTGTATAAGCCCTGCACAATGACTAGCTGTTAGGGTGGCTAGACAATTTTAAAGTGCAATCATATACCTCTTTTTAGCCATAAAAAGTCATACAGCTCCCAACATTGCTGGATATGCTGAAAATTCTAGATCTTTTTCTGTTTAAACATGCATGCAATTGCAGTTTAAGGATGTATAGCTTTTCATTTATTAGCCCTATAGCTGCCACTATGATTTATCATTTATACAGCATTTTGTACCACTTTATCATCTCTGTTATGTTTATCTTCACAACAGCAGTATAGGCTATTTTTCAGAGGAAAAATACTGATGCCAAAGTCACATAATACACTTAAAACACAAGTGGACCTTTAACCCACTTTTTACTACCATTAAAAATAATAGCCTCCATCCACTAACAACCTTTACTTGTGTTCAGAAAGCTCAAGAGCACACACTGCAGCGTACTCTTTTGTTCCCAGCATATGGGCCTTCTTCCCTTCAGCAACACCTTGTTACAAGTCACTTTAAAGGACCCCAACTTTCATTGTGGATGGCTATTCGAAAGGAGGACAAAACTGCAAATGCTCTTCCTGAAATCATGGCTAGTGGGAATGCAGATCTACGTACAGTAGATATGGGCAGGCAAATGAATTCAATGCCCAATGAGTATCTCTCAAAGTTCTTGGATGTAGATATGAGTTCTGCCACTGCACTAAGATTTGGATCATGAATTGGGACCAAGCATCACCATGGATCACCAGATCCTTAATGGACACCCTTTAATCCAGACTTCATTGTGCCCAGTGAAGCTAGGCTTTCTTTGTGGCAGCCCTCTCTGGCTGAAATAGAACACCAGTTTATCATAAAAGTGTTTTTCACCAGTTTATCTCCATTTTAAACAAAATACTGAAAACAAAGCATTTACACAAAGAAGCTGTGGATCTGTGGCCGTTGTTTCCCAATCTAGCTAGGTATAAATAAATGAATTTAATCGGCATTGTTACTACTTGATCTACACATGATATTCAACACTGTGCAGGTGCAAAATATTTTCATTGTGGCATAAGCAATAAGTAAACAATTTTTTTAAAAAAATCCCTGCACTTGTTGATAGCATAAGCATTCACTTCCTTTCCCTGAAATGCATACATAGACTCGGGTGCAACCTTCCGGTATGCTGTTCCAGTGCCCCATGGTCTCGGGTTGCATACACCTGGTTCTGGAAGGCCCTGGAGTTTGTTGGGGAGAACATCTATTTCTGTTTATGCTCTATTTATAGTTTGGCAGCTTGTGTTCATCCACTGATGGAATGGTATCCCTCACCAGAATGTATTCCCCTTCCCACTACAGCTCTACCAGATCTGCTCTAGATGGTTGGGAGACCTGACACTAGGGCAGAATCGGGGTGCTGTAGCAAGGAAGGGAAGTTCCATTGCATGGAAGAGGTCTGCTCTCACAATGCTGGATGTAACCCAGAAGATAATGTTTCCCTTGAAAAATTATTCCTCTCCCATCCAAGTAGCCTTTAAATGAATTGTGATCCTGAACCAGCACTTCAAAGGAATCTCTCTGAATACAGCAGCAATAAGGGGGCTCTGCAATGAAGCTCCATTGTGAAGCACACACTGTTTGGGATTTTAACCAGTCCAGTCCAATCCAGTCAAATCCAATCCAATCCTCCCTTCCCTCCACCTCCAGTTTTCCATCTCCCCCAGTAGTCAACCTCCCATGGCCATGAAGTATGCTCACTCCTCATTACACTGTTTTGGGTTCTTCCCCACCTCCTCAGTGATTTTTCTTTTTAAAGTTTTTTGTACTCCTTCAAACTAGAGTCTAGCAAATATATGATAAATTTAATGAGGCAGCATGCTTGGGAAGCAAAGAATAACTAAGCGCTATAATTGGAAAACGGATATGTGCCCACTCTATTCTTTTCATAGATTTTCTTTTTCTCACTATGTCATCTCTTCCACTGCAAAATGAGGAAAAACAGCCCGTAATAGATCCCAAGTGGTATAACATGATTGCATTTGGGAATAAAGATGTGGTTTGTGCACAGGAATTCACCTCAGGGGGATTCCATTTATGAGCGCTGCTGTAAAAGGACAGCACTGTGCAAAGATAGGAGACAGCTCTTTGAAAAATTATCGGGTCTTTTCAGAAGAAAACATATGATAAAAATATATTGCAGAATCCCTGTGTAATTACTATGTCCTTTTCACAGCTGAAGGCAACAGGGAAGAAATGAACAAGAAGCAACAGTGGTAGGGGTGCTAAAACTGAAAATCCTTCAGAAATAATAATTCTTATTATTATCAACCATGTTTGTCAACAGCTGTATTTGCTGAAAATCATAAGTTTAAAACACTTTAAAAGAACATCAATTTAACATTAAAGTTAAATTAAAAAGAAGCATCTTCACACCCTTTTGAGAAGCCAAGAGGATAGGTTCTAATCAGTTCTGGTGTAGAGTACATTTCACAGGCCAGGAGTCACACAGAATCCCAGAATGTGGGAGTCCCAATATGGGTCAGGACTGCACACACTTTCACCAAATTAAGAAAGCCGGCAACACCTAGTCTCACTTCATGTGATTAGAAGAACATGACTTTGGCCACAGTTGTGGCAATTATGGATAAAGGCTATTACTTACATACAAAGTGTATTTTTTTTCTTTCCTAATGATGGCATGTGTTTTAGGTGGGCCTCTTCCGAAAATCAGGGGTGAGATCTCGAATACAGGCCCTACGACTCATGAATGAAAGCTCCCCTGAAAATGTCAACTATGAAGACCAGTCGGCATATGATGTGGCAGATATGATAAAGCAGTTTTTCAGAGACCTCCCTGAGCCACTTCTCACTAGCAAGCTAGGAGAAACTTTCCTCCACATCTATCAGTGTAAGTACTTAGACTGCTTCTGTTAGCCATGAATAAGAATACAATGCAGAGTTATAAGGCCTATAAACTCAGAGGATTTGGGGTCTGAATTAAGGCCCTCCAAGGGCATACAGATTTGAAACAGAGCATTTCTTTTCTATCAGCCCTAGGTACATAAAAGCATAAGAAGGAAACATGACTTAGAAACGACAACAAATAAATAAGTACAAAATACTAGTTCATTTACTTTATATATGATATTGAATTGTGTCCAAGGTGGCTTTGCTCTAGCAGAAGAACTATGCTTGTACGAAATGGGGCATTCAGTGCTCATGGAGCTCCTCCCCTTTTCCAGTCCCTCTGCAGTCCCTGTGCCCTCCCCGAAGGTTGGAGAACCTTCCAGAGCAGTCTGGAATATCTCATGAAAGGCTGCAGATCCATGAGATCCCAGTGCTTTGCCTCATCTGAAGGAAGCACATCCTACAACCACAAAATCACCATTGAATGCCTTCTAACCTAATTATCAACTACATCTCATCCTTGTGTTTAAATCAAAAATAGTTTGCTTTGTTAACAAGAAAACACACTATTTGGGAGTAAAATCTAGTGAAATATATGCAGCTTTCTTCTGAAAGAATACAGATAGGACTAATTTGTAAATCTAGTGTTCTAAGAATGATTAGCTGTAAGAATATACATTGTATTGACTCATTTACAATGAATTGCTTCAGGAACTGAGAGTATAATATTTAAATAAATATTGCAAATGAAAAATACAATTATATAACAAAATAAGACATTGCCTGGCAATATACATTAGTAGTAATGATTGCTTATATTCAAATTCTAGTTATCATATCTCTTTGTCACAGTGCATTTTTACATATTTGATTTTAGAATCTGTAATTTTTATGAAGTTTAATGTGGGTTTTTACTTATTTAGGCAGGTTTCCCAAAGTATAGGTTATGTGAAGCTACAAGTAATGGAGTCCATTCCTGAGTGACTGGTTCTAGCTGGTAGACCTAAAAAGATACCACTAGTGTGAGTCTGATGTTTGCTTGCTCCCATTCTGTCCGAAATATAGAATTGCCCTGAGCTAAGGATTCTGGATTATAACATAATATTAATCACACCCTTTTGCCCGCCCGCCCTGCACAAAACTGTATTTGTTGGACTGTATTACTATGCCAGTGTTTTTAAACTGATACAATGATGTTTGGCTTTGTTGTTCTTGGCTGACTTTACCAATTTTATTGACTTCACTGTTTTGTTGTATCATGTCTGTTTCATAGCTTTGATTTTGTTAAACAGCCAGAGAGCCTTTGGGCTATGGGCAGTATAAAAATGTAAATAAAGCAAGTAAATATGTGTCCACTGGAAGTGAGCCTCTCTATGTTAAATGGACATTCTTCCCAGGACAGTGGTATCAGATTTCTACCTGATTCTTCAAACACAGAAAAGCTATTGGTTTTTGTATTTGATTCATACCAGGGAGCACTGAAGGCAGGCTGAGTAAGCTCTGAATCATCCTCATCTGTGTATTCATTAAATTTTTCTTTGACTCTGTTCTTGGAGTATTTCCTAAGCTTCCATAAGAGTTGTTGATGTTGCTTTAATCTGCCCCACCAATAGCACCTGGAAAAAGAACATGTTTAGTAATGGTGTTGCACTCCCAAAAGGCAATGAGGTGTCTGTTCATTGCATGACTTCTCCGCTTCCCAGGATTTAATCATAGTCCAGATGAACTCTGCGGGGATCGTCAAGGCTTATAAAAACCTTTGCATACTGCCTGGTGTTTGGTAAATGGTGTGATGGTTTCACTTGGTTTCCCTGCTGTACTTTATTCATACTGTTCTTATGCTACTGAATGTATTTGTGCTGGGTTTTATTTTTCTTTGTGTGTACTTACTGCTATTTTATCAGATTGTTTTTTGTGGCTGTTTGCTGTAAATCACCTTGGTAGGTGTGGTGGACTCTACATACTGGTGGGTTGGACCAGAAGTATGACTAAATCCAGATGACTAATAGAGGATTAGGAAGAAAAACAATTAGGTAGAAGTATCAGAGTCATACCATGCCTAATTTTATTTATTTATTTACAATATTTATGTACCATTCCATAACGAAAAAAAAGTCTGGACAGTTTACAGTATTTGGGAGCTTCTACGCAAAACTTGCTTTTGGTGGGGGATTGTGTTTTCCACCCTTGTGTTTAATGGCTTGAGGTAGAAGAGGCCATAGTGTGTGATACAGCACATTCTTTCAGTTGTGGTACTAGGGAAGTGCCTACTAGGGTGTAACCCTGCACATCTAGGAGGACCTCTTGCCCACCACCCTGCTTTTCATGGGCATTTGCTGAAATAAAGGTACAGAGACCCTCATGATCTCTCTTGCACCTGATCCTTACAGATTAGCTGGCTTGTTGCTTGCATGTGCTTACCTTCTGCTTGTCTGCTCTTCCCCAAATGAATCTTTCCACCTGAGGATATTGTTCTGGAAACAAGTGCCTTCTTCTTCTCATCCATACATCCCTTCTTACAAATAGGGGTGTCTGTAGGAGACAGGGTCCTTTAAAGACAGAAAGAGAGAGACTTAGAGCATATGCAAATCAGGTTATTTGTTTGCTTGCTTCTCCTATGGGCCTGGGCCCCAGATAGGTTTTGTACCTAGCACTTACTCCTGTGTGCTTGCTTGCAGAAAGTCCCCACTAGCCATAATACCACCCTTGCCTGAACCCTGGAGAGCTGCTGTCAGTCAGTGTTGATAGTATTGGACCAGATGAATCAGTGGTTTGATTCAGTGTAAAGCAGACTCTTGGGTTGTTGTGAAAGGCTGGAGTTCAGCCAGGGCAAGATACTGCTCTCTTGACCGTGCAAAAGCAGAAGGCCAGGCATCTGAAAGTTATATCAGTTCTGGGCAATCCAGAGATAGTTAGCATTGTGCAATTTCTGTGCCTGGAGAGAGCACAGGTGTCCTTCCCATAAACTGTTCGACAGTCAAGTCATCCCACTAAGTAGGTCTCAAATATGCATATGCAGTTAAAATAATTAGCTGTTTTATTTCCTGTGTCATTTTAAAGCAGCATTTTAAAATCAAACTTTCCTCATGTTTTAGAGGTGTTGATATTTATCTTTCGTTTATAAACTATCTTAAATTAATATTGCTGTTTTTTTTTTCTTTTAGGGTGTCCCCCTGTGCATGTGTAGACAGAAAAAGTCTCAAAAGCTTCCAGTATTCCCTATCCAGTCATATCTGGCTAGGGAATACTGGGGTGGGGGGGTTCTGTCTAAATGTGCCCTTAAAGTTTTTATCTTTACTTTCATCATATTTGTTTCTATATTGTATTCAACCAGAAAGCTTTGGCTATAAAGGGACTCTTAAATCTAACAAATACAGTAGTAAGCAGGTGTCCATTTTCTAAAGCATACAAAGCAGACAATAATGCACAAAAGCTTGGAGCAAAAAAAAGTTAATCTGGAATTGGAAGGTTAGATCACACATCATGCTATAAATAAATAATGGCATCCCGACATTCATATTTGCATCTGTGTACTAAATGGCACATTTTATTCCTCAGATGTTCCAAAAGAGCAACGACTTCAAGCAGTTCAGGCAGCTATAATGTTGATGTCAGATGAAAACAGGGAGGTTTTGCAAACTCTGCTGTGCTTCCTAAATGATGTCACTTCTGTGGAAGAGAATCAAATGACTCCCATGAATATAGCAGTGTGTCTTGCCCCTTCTCTCTTTCACCTCAATATAGTAAAGAAAGACAGCTCGCCACGGTAAGGATTTGCTCACCGCTTCCTTTTGCCCTGGGTTAGATGTAACTCTGAATTAAATGTGAGTGGCTAATTGTTAGATGGTTTTTGTGTTGGCTTTATAACAGTCATTTGGGTGGCATCCTGGCAAAAGGGGTCACATTTACAGCTAAACATGGGCATGCACAATGATAAATTAGACATTTAAGAAAAGCATAGAAATGAGTAATGAATAGTCCATAAAGTTTCTTTTTTGGCATAGAAGCATTCATCCTGAGTTGCCCAGAGCAGCACAGTTGCATGCTTGTGAACAGAGTGGTATACAGCAAAAGCTAATAGTGCCTTCTGCAGTTGTCACAGCCCTTTTCTCAGCTGCCACAGAAGTGGGAATTGATGCTAGTTTAATTGATCCACTGTTGGATCCAGGGTCAAGGTAGGCATGGTTGGCCAGGACGTCTCCAATTATATTGTTTTTATATTGTTATTATGTTATTTATTGTTGTGAGCCGCCCCGAGGCTTCGGCGAATGGGGCGGCATAGAAGCTTTCTAAATAAATAAATAATATAATAAATGTCCCCAAGGATACTTGCAGGACAACCCAGAGGGAGAGAGGTACAAGCAGCTTCCCAGAGAGCTTGATCATCTATTGGGACACACCATAGGTTGTTTGCATGACAACCAGCTCACTTATTGCCAGAGTGCGATGTTGTGATGAATGAATGCAGCCACCCACTCAAATGTTTTTGGCTCACCACAGTGATTCCATGATCTATTCCACTTTTTCCAGAATGAAATAGTATTTACTTTAGAATCATAAGTTGGAAGGGTCCAACTTGTCATCCAGATCATGTCATCCAGCATCCTTCTCAGTGCATCCCTGACAGATGACCATGCAGGCAATACTTAAGTGAATCATGCAAAAGAGAAGCCATCACTTCCCAAGACAGTTCATTCCACTGATGAACAGCCCTTGTTGTTAGAAGCTTCTCCTAATGTTCAGTCATTTCTAACTATTCAATGTTTCTAACCATTTTGAGTGAGAACAGCTATATAGATGTAGTTCTCTGAAAATGTAAGTCAATTCATGAAGGAATTCCACTAGCCATCTTCTTTAGAGAAGGCTGCATATAATACACAGTGCATACACTCTTTAACTTGTAGTACTTTCTATTTCTTCACACCCTGAGAATATTTAAGCATATCTTTCTCCTTGGCAATAAAAAGGCTCTTACCTTAACTCTTATGATGTGATAAAAGCAAAGTATAAAAGACTGCCTCGTGTTTGGTACCAAAAAGTAAGTGTCACAGCTTTCACTTTCATCCAAAGAAGACTCTGTTCCTTTTTCTTACTTGAGATGCTGAATTAATTTTCAGAGTAATACAGAAGAAATACGCAACTGGGAAGCCAGATCAGAAAGATCTCAGTGAAAACTTGGCAGCTACTCAGGGACTTGCGCACATGATAACAGAATGTAATAAACTTTTTGAGGTGAGTAAAAGATTCAGATAGCATTATTCATGAAGGGAGCATTCTTTGAACTACTTAGCCTATACAGTTTTTCATACTTTGGCCTTAAAGTAATGGTCCTTGGATTATTGAGTTGTACCTGTGGAAACACGTATGTGTCGTTGTCTCCCAGCCTTTCCGCAAAGTGCTTCATTTTACTCATGTATTTATGTTGACTTACAGCCCACAGTATTCCACGGACTCTACTTAAACTTAAAGGAGATAGATTTCTTTCTTCAGAAGGCTTGCAACTGGATCAAGGTCAAAACAAATGCTTAAAAACAGCTCCATTTTTCAATGTGATTTTGAGTTCATTCTCAAAATTTCCCCTAGTTTGAGAACAAAACCTGGACACTAGAAGTACCTGTGCAAAGCCCTGATGGTTGGTTTTTAAGGATACCTTTAGTATCATCGATACTTGAATTAAAAACTATTTTCAGTTTTTGTGAATGTCCTTAGCTACCTGACAACATGTTCCTCATCATAATCCCAAGTTTGTTCAATCATAATTACAGTGTGCTGGAATAATCCAAACATGTCTGTTTTGAAGAATGTTCCACCAAAATTAACAAGAAATGACCATCAGCAGTCCACACCCATTCCCATTCACTTATATGCTTGCAATTATAGGGAGAACATAATGCACAAGCCCCTTGTACAACTCCTGGTGACAATTTCCATTATTGTGGCTGAATATTTTCATACCACTGTATCATTTAACCCCAAAAAGTCCCATTGTGAAGCTGGTAACTGTATCAAGGGATGTGCTGCCTTATACATTATGTCTTTCATGTGATTTGGGTCCACAGAGGCAGTTGGGCTACATTAGAGGTGGAACTTTGGACCAGATGAACTGATCACTTATTGTCAGCTACATCTGTTGAGGATCAAAGTACATTTAGAAAGGCTCTGTAGGGTGAAAAGAAAGCAAAAGAAGGGAAGAAACCGGGCATTTATTTATTCATTCATTTATTCTTTTTCCATTGATATCCCATCTTTTTTCCTCTTGCAAAGAATCTAGGGTGGCATATATGATCCTTCTCCTTTCCATTCTTTCCTCAAACAACTCTATGAAGTAGACTAAGCTGAGAGTCAGTGACTTCATGCTGGACTGGGGACTAGTATACAGATCACTTCTGTGCAACATAGAAATGGGAAATATTACTCTAAATAAAAAGTTAAAAACCAAAAATCAACTCCACATATAGAAAATTCAGTTGCAATAAACTACAGATGCTTAAAAGAATAAAATACAATGGATAGAAACATTGTACAGAATATAAAGAACAGACATAAGATCAAAAATCCATGTCTCTAAAATGCAAACAAATGACTTTACAATCCACCTTTCCCCCTCACAACTCTCTCATTCTTTGGAGCAGATCCCAGATGACATGATAGCACAGTCTCGGAATTCCTATGTTGAAGCTGAAGTGCGTCCCCCTACTCTGGAGGAACTGGGCAAGCAAATGGATGAAGAAGGTGGGAATTACCAGACCTACCTTGAAAATATTATACAGAATCTCTGTAAAGAAGCTAAGGAGAAATTAAAAGGATGGGTCACTTGTCCCAGCATAGAAAATACAGAACTGTGCTCCAGAAAGGTAATTTTGTCAACCATAAATCATCTATCCATATCTGCATAACTGGAATATCCTGCAGGAATCTCATTCTGATATTCTGTCTTCACTAAGAAATATTCCTGGGGCAAATGGATTAGCAGGACAAACATTGGACCCAACCTATTATTATTTCAATTGGGAGAGGGAAGAGAAAGAGAAATACCAAAGATAGAAAGGAAAGGTTTGATTCTGAAGAAGAATACACAGAACAGAACATGCTCATTAAAGAGTTTCTTTTAAGTTATTGCTAGCCAGCACATCATACCTAACATTTTCAGAAAGCGTAGAGATGTCCTAGTACCTAATTGTCTTTGAAGGCTATCCCTTCAGTTGATCCTCCCATCTCAAAATCAATTTCTCCATTAACACCATGTTCTAGTTTTAATGTATAGGAATAAATAGGATTTCCTAACCAAGTTGCAGATGGAGGAACACATCAAAAGGCTTCTTTGGTTTCTTGTTTATATCTTAACCTGTCTGATTCACCCAACATTTGATTCTCTCTCTTCCCTTCCTGCTCCCTGGGCAAATTAAGGTTGGAGATGGAAATCCATTAAGGCTATGGAAGGCATCTGTGGAAGTTGAGGCCCCTCCATCTGTCGTATTGAACCGTGTGCTAAGAGAACGCCACCTTTGGGATGAGGATTTCTTGCAGTGGAAAGTCATTGAAACTTTGGATAAGCAAACTGAGATCTACCAATATGTTTTGAACAGTATGGCTCCTCATCCTTCTAGAGACTTTTTAATCCTCAGGTAAATTTGTTTGTTTGTTTGTTTGTTTATTCCCTTTATCTCCCACCTTTTTTTTCTTGCAAGGACTCCAAGGCAACTTACATGGTTGTCATCCTCTGTACTTTATTCTCACAAGACCCCTATGAGGTAGATTAGTGAGTGACTGACCCAAAGAACTAGAACTCAGATCTCCTGGGTCCCCAGTCCAGCTCTGTCTGTCTCTCTCTCTTTCTGTTGCTAGTATTTTTTATTTACTTTCAAAAAGGCAGGATGTAAATACAATGTAATAAAATTGTGTAATAATAATAGCAATACAACAGGATCATTAAAGCCACTGACTGGTCAGAATCCTTAGTATATCATGGCTCATATGCTTGGCTAGATTTTAACAGTCCAAATTTACATGGCTTGGAGCCAGGATTCTGAAATATCATTGTCCCCCTGTATGAGTTTTCACAAACTTGGAGTTTATTATCTGAGACCCAACCAAGCGAGCTGGGCTTGGTGGACCTTGCAGCGGGGTCTTTTGTATAGCAGCCTCCCCCATCAGCGCTGAACAGCCTCCTGTTACACAAACCTTCTGTTAAGTGTCTGGTGAGGACCTACTGTTCAACCAACTATTTTAATAGTTATGCTGATCGTTATTTTCATTATAAATCCATAATTTAAAAAAATTCAGGTTTTTCTATTTCATATATTTTGTTCTTTTTGTTGTTTTTATTGTACATCACCTTAGCTACTGACTGAGCAAAGCAGCAACCCAAACATATTCTAAATGAACATATGAAGGTAACTGTCAAAGAAAGGGCAGAATAGATGTTGTATGGCATATATAAGGTGTAGGCAGATCCAAATCGTGCTGGTTTGGCACTGTGAACTGCTTGTTGTTAAGACACATTTATTGGGAGCTTGGGGGTAAAATTTTGGAATAGATGCCTCAGTACTTTTTATTTAAAGAGTGCAATCCTTCAAAATGAATGGTTAATAAAAATATGCATTGAAATATTATCCTTGTATCATAGAAAATGACTTGTATAAAAATATGATCTCATTTTACATTTTTAAGGGAAGCAGTTATGTCAAGATATTTTATCTGAATACATACCTTTGTGCCACCATCACCACACACACACAGTCAGTGTGGTGTAGTGGTTAGAGCATTGGACAAGGAGTTGGGAGATCTGGGGTCTAGTCCCCACTTGACAACAAAGCTAGTTGGATGACTTTGGGCTACTCACTGACTCTCAGCCCAGCCTATTTCACGGGGTTGCTGTGTGAGTAAAACAGAAAGGAGCAGAAGGGTTCTGTAATCTTTCTTGGCTTCCCTACAGGAAAAATATATGGGATATAAATATGACAGATAAATAAAATAAAACAGAAGTATGGGGTATTCTTGAACTATAAAGGTATCGAGAACAAATGGAAAACACTGAATTATTTAGGGCTGGCAGACATTTTTCATAATACTGCCATAACTGTGATTGAAGGAATCATCCCATGTAAAAGATATACAAGAGTTGGGCTATGTATTAACAGCTATGTATTTGGATCTACATTTGTTAAATTCACATTTATCATTGCACAACTCCTGATTCAGGGTTAATAACTTCATTTATGTCCTCACTGCAGGAGGAAAAGCCTGTTTATTCAATCACTGTCCAGTACAGTGAGCAATTAGCTTTTAGTATAAAGAGTTTCACTCCACATATTAACTTTTGCATATTTTGAACTCTTTTTAAAGGGCCACAAGTATACAAGTATGGTTATTAACCCATCAGTTCATGTAAACAAGCTTTGAAGGTGCAGATTGAATAGAAATTAGGGAATGAATGAAACACACTACCGCAAAGGTGTTCATTGCCTGGTTTTGCAAAACCACTCTCGACGTAAGCCACAACATAGTGATAAATATTACAAAGACGCAGAGCTGCCACCAAAAACTACTTGTTCTTCCTCGCCAGCCCTGAGTAACTAATGCTTTCAAGTGGAATAGCCTTTCTTTTCTAAAAACAAGCTAGTTGCCTGCAAAACCTTTCCTAACTGCCCCATCAAATATTGCATGAAGGGTGAACACACATGAAACAGACTTTTCAGAAATGGCCTTTAGACATGGAATGCCATCCTGGAAAAATCCACATGGTGCCTATTTTGATGTTTTTCCAAAACCAGGCAAAAATGTTTTTATTATTATTTCCATAGCCTTTTTATGTATTTGATCTTGTCTATTATTGTTGTGGCTCTATGAGTTTTTATTTCTCTATTTTGTCTATTTAATGCCATGCAGTATTTGCTCGGTTTTGAAATGGTCATGTGGGCCCTTTGGTTGCATTCTTTGCTATATTGTAACTTGTACTGCTATTTTATTTCAATACTTGTTTTAATCTTGAAAAGTACCCAGAGAACTTCTGTTATAGACACCTTTCTTTTATTTGTAGCTCTTCCCCTTCAATTAATGTTTCCTTTTTAAAACCTGTTTTAACAGAACATGGAGAACAAACTTGCCTAAGGGAATGTGCATATTAGTGGCTATTTCTGTAGAACATGAAGAAACCCCTCTGATGGGGGGGGTGCGAGCCATTGTTATGGATTCACAGTATTTAATAGAGCCTTGTGGTTCTGGGAAATCTCGCCTGACACACATCTGCAGGGTTGACCTCAAGTAAGTACTTCAGGTGCCAAAAAGGTGATCCGTACCTGCACAGAGCCAGCATTCCTCAGCACTGTTTGACAAGTTTAGCTAGAAGAATGCAATTACTTCTGGAACATGTGCCCTTTGGTTAATATAAAAAAATATTCAGCAAAAAACTGTGCATTGAGCTTATGCTTGTACATTCAGTAATATATCCCACTGAGTCCACTGGAACTAACTCCCAGGTAGCCATGCAGAAGATTACAGCATAAAGGGGGGGAAAACCACTTTACCTACCTGATTAAGCAGGCCAGCATATTTTTTCATAGCTGTCACAGTATTCCTGGACTGATTTGTCTTAATTGTATTCCTCTTCCAATTTATTGTCAATTACAGTTTGTTCCTCTGATTAGGCATAGTATGAAAGATCAGCCATGTTCAATTGGTATGGAGAGCCCCATAAGGTTTCCGTATGGAAAAAATATGACTGGAAAATATTACTTCAGTTTCATAACCTTTAAAACAATTTTACAAGCCCCCCACCCACCCTTGTTTCTGGTAATTGATACATGGGGGCTACTGTTTTTTAACTTACAAAATACAGAACATTCCTGATTCCAGTTCCGATTCTGCAGTTCCCAAAAGTCTTCTTACATGTTCTGGCTCATGTATTTTGACCAGACTGACTATCCTCACAATATGTACAGCTGTGGTAACCCAAAGTGTGGCTTGCATAGACATCTCAGTAGCCACATCCCAAATTTCACCTGTGGGGCCCTCCATTCTGTTATGCTGACTGCTAATTTCAGTCACAAAATAAAAAGTTACTGTAAAATGTGAGGGCCTGGTCTTCACATTTTGGAGCTCATGTACTCTCCACCTCATCTTCCAGCATGGCTACAAGGAGGGCATTGAAAGCTTTTCAACCAGCCCTCATTTCTCATGTTTTCATTCCCTCATCTGCCTTTTTGCATAATTTTGTACTCAGATCTGATGCTTGCACAGCTGTATGTGTTGCAGTGGTACCAATTTTGTCCAGTGTGACTAGGGCCTAATTTGTCCTTCGGCAGTATAAAGCGCAGTCTTATGCAAATTTCGACAGAAAGAAGTCAGCACTGCTGGCTGGGGAATGCCAGAAGTTGTAGGGCTTTCTTCTGTCTAAACTTGTACCCTTTGCCATTGTTATGCTAGGAACAGGATTGTAACCTCCCAGAGTACAGTGTGTTTGTTGTTCTTGTTCCTCCACATATCCATGCTGCCATCATTCCCATTCTGCAGATGGAAGAATTAATCTCTGAGAAAGTCAATGGGGACCCATCATTTGAGAGATTTGACTCCAGCTATCCTAAATTTGAGCCCAACTGTCTAAATATTAGCCCACATTCACCTGGTTTGCACAGTCAAAAGAGTACACCATGGCAGCTGTTTCAGGCCCCAGGATTTTGTGTCACACTCCCTTTCTCATGTTGTCCAAGCCCAGCAAGGGTGACTTGTTGGAATGGTTTACAAATCACCCCACAACTACAACAGGCCATGGGTTCATGGGAGTTTCTTAGCCACCCCAAAAAGACACCCTCTCTGTGTTCAGACATCAAGACAACCTGCACTCAGCAAGGGTAATTATGGAAATGAGCTGCCATATGTGTAGGGGTGGTTAACAAACCACTACGATTTATTAACTGCTCTTGGATCATGCAAACCAGGCAATTGTGTCTCACTGTGTATCAGGAGAAAATGTCAGTCTTGCTGGGTTAGATGCATGTGCCTGCAAAATGTGTGATTTTTGGGGATCCTCCCAGTTCATCCCAGTTCAACCTTACCACATTCAGAAAGGTCTTCTGATCCTCTGGTAGATTTTTAGATGGGCTGCCATTGAAAGGAGAGCATGATGAAGTCCATATCTACCAACATGGTTGATCCGGCATAAATTTGGATCCATCTCATTCCATTTTTAGAACATGATGCTTCATGATTACCATAGGAATATCAGTGTCTTTAGGTGCCATGTATTTATTCTAATGGTGTCTAAGAAGATGTCTGTCTCTGTTGGTTAACATTTATGACCTACCATATGGATGAAGTTGGGGAGGAGAAACACTTTTACATTAACTTTTCCTATTTGCTTCCCTGCAGAGGTCATTCATTAGAGTGGTACAATAAAGGCTTTGGACATCTATGTGCAGCTGAAGTTGCCAATATCAGAAATTCATTTCAACCTCTGATTGCTGAGGGACCAGAAACAAAAATCTGAGTGTTGGAGAGCCTGCATGTATGGAGATCCATGTATGCACTAGATTCACTGGATTTCAGCCTACGTTTGTGCAATAGCCAAGCCAGGATTGCTTGGAAGGCTCTGCCATTGCCTGGAAATGTCATTCATTGACCCCTATGCTTTGCACCTATTGAATTCCTTCACTAAAGAACATTTTTCCACAAATTTATTTAGGCTTTAAAAGAAGCCTTTGCTTATGTATGGCATATGTCTAATATTTAAAAGCTTCTGAGAAGCTCATTTTAAAGTGTAAATAGGAAATGTAAATATTGTATATACTTTGCTACATATAATATATATATGTATGTATGTATATATAACAAGTTTTGTATGTAAGCTAGTGCTTTCTAGAAGACATCTGCATTTGATTAGAATTATTTTCACTTCATTAGTTGTTAGTTCGCAGGATCTCCATGTTTTTCTTAACATCCTTGCTATTATTGCAAAACTATGACATCAGTGTGATGACTGGTAACAAGCGGAATACTTGTTCCCATGTTTGCACAGGTTATGAAGAATTGCATGAAGTAGGACACTGGAGGGCTGAGAAAAGGTTTTAAGAAGAGAGAGCAGTATGTTCCAGGGTATTATAATTGGGTAAACAATAATTTGGTGAACACAGTAGCCTATAGAAAGACAGAAACTAGAGTTGCAGCTAGGGATATATGGATTTTGTCAAAACATTCCACTTGTGTTTTGCAAATTGACAGGTGTCTTGTTCCTTTTCAGGATTTAGGAGAATTTTGCTCCACTAGAACAACAATTGGTTTTCATTAATGTACATTAGCACAAATATGAATTTGCATTATTGCATATTAGTGTTAATGTGAATTTGGGCATATCTACCCCCAAAGATAATAACAGTCTGCAAGTCTGCACAACCTGGAAAAACTTGGTCCGCTGTGGGATTTGCAGCAGTTCAGTTGAATCCATTGCAGATTTCTGCAGCTTCCCTATTTGCAGCGCAGAAATCATGCCAGTTGCCTTAAATAATGGAATAGGAAACACTTTGGACCAACTGAAAGCTCACTAATTGTAATAGTCCTAGGATTTCTTAGTCTAACAGACCAATCCTAAGACTTGCCATTCTAACAATGCTCAGAATGTGATGAAGCCACTACTGCCTCTGCTTGCCATCACACAATGTAGCATTACACCAAAGTTGTTCACTAACAACAAGTAAACAATGCTTCGGACGTGAATATAAGGATGGGCATTCAACTCATTAATATAGATCTACCCGTAAGTGGCATCCATAATTTCAGAGCAAATTATCACTAATTTAAAATACATGGTTTGAAGTTATGTCCCAAAATTTGATGTCCTAGTTCAAAGGAAATTAGGATAGTTGCATCTTACTGAAATTAATGACAGTTAGTTAGTCAGGGCTAGTGCTACCACAAGAAGAGCTACCCAGATAAAGCTTGGTGGCCTATAAAGGTTTGTAATGGCTTGGTTTGCAACATAAACTTTGGCAACTCGGAATGTTGACTTTCAATGCAAGGCAAGCATGATGACTCCTGGTTCTTTTCCAGTGTCCCAAGCTGAACAAGAACTCCTCCCTAGCCCCCTCCCATACACTCCCATATCCATATTTACTAAGCTGCAGTGTTGCAATATAGCAGAGGCAGGGGGTCCCTACAGTCCTCCCTAGCACCCTGCAATAGCAACTCCTCAGGTGTTAGGGGACCTTGGAGGTGTAGTTTTGGGAGGCTCTAGTGTTCAGCCAGCAGTGTTACAGGAGCATAAAAGAAGAGAAGGTTTTCCTGCTGGAAGGAAAACTCTTGCTGTTGCAAGAAGGGAAATGCATGAGAGGGAAAGATAACTGAATAAGGAAGTTAAAATCATGGTCCCAATGGTGAAGAATGTGATGTCACATACACCAAGCATGGCAATAACTGTGCTGTTTTTCAGCCCTTTAAAAAATGGCTCAGTTGGCCAAGCCCATGGCAGTGGAGCACAGAAGGCTGCCCATCATTTGTCCTATCTAGGTTGCACCACTGATTTTCATGAGACTGAGCCACAGCCAACTGCCTTTGAGCTGATGGTTTAGCCTGGTTGGGGGTTCCAACACCAGTGCTGGTACATCATTAGAAATGATGGTATAGAGTGGACTAAACCAGTGGAAAGAAAGAATTACACAACCATTGTCAACCAAACATTGCTTCTAGCAATATTAGTGCATTCAGACAACTTTTTAGTTGTTGGTAATACTTGTAAAGTGCAATCCTAGGCAAATTTAGATAGTAAAAAGGCCTTCTTTCTGCCTAAACTTACATAAGATTGTGCCTTTAAAGTATCGAATTTGGAACTCCTGCTTATATAAACATAAGCTTGAATACCTATTATCAAAAATTATGCTGAGCTATATTTCTTCCCTCAGGAGACCACCCATTAGGAGATGCTCTCTTACAGCACAATCCTATGTATGTCTACTCAGGTGTAAGCTCCACTGATGTCAATGGGACTTACTTCAAGGTAAGTGTATATAGGATTGCACTCTTAGCACATTTTTCACATTGTACATTTTATAAGTTTGTGTAATATGCACCATATACTGAAAAGAACTAATAAGTAATCTGTGAGAAGTGGTAATTATGATGTTAAGGATTTTTTGATCCTGTCCTAGGATGGTCTTATGCTTTGATTTTGAATGCTTGGAAGTAAAAACTTCGCATTTCAGTGGGAGTGAAAGTCTAAGCAAGTGTATTAGAACAGCAGCCTTTTTCAAGATGTCCTTTTGTCCCTTATTAATGGGAGCAGCATCAGCTCCTGGTGTTCTGGAGTGGTACCCTAAGGGGCCATTGGATAGCGCATATTTGGGGACTACTTATTTTCATAAATGGGAAAATGCTTTGAAAGCAATAATTATTTTTAAATAATTTATGGAGAACAGGGTTTTAATAATAAAAATAATGTAATATTAATCATAATTTAGTTTCAAACAAACTGTTATTTCATGCAGAGTAAAATCAGTTTCAGCCGGGCTTTCTACATGTTGTTGTACAGGACAGCCTAATCAGGCTCCTTGTCTATGGAGCTGGGAGGAAAATACACCAAACTAAGTAGGGCTTGGTTTTTCAGGCATGGATGGCTGAGATCCGCTGTCATACTAGTGGACTTTCCTCAGTGCAATGGACATTTCCCTCCTCTTTTCTCCCTATAATTCCCCTCTCTCCATTATGGGGAGTTCCCATTATTTTAAGTCAATCAAGATGTGCCATTGAATTTGTTTCAGGAAACAACAGTGTATTTTCTACAAGGACAGGGTTACCTACTACTTTCTAGCAAATCTGTTATATCCCTAATGGTTGCAAGACAGACAGACTTTCAACATTGGGAAAAGTTTCACTTATTGAACTTCTATTTCACTCAACTGTTCAAGCACATGTGTCTTGCTGGTGACACAGTGACCATATTATAAAAGAAACAACAAACTTTTTATGCTGCAGTGCAGAAGTCTATGACTGCTTTGATCTTCATAATATCAGTTACTGTGTGGTATTTGGGATTTCCGTGCAATGCCAGCTATGGGATGGTGTCTACACAGACCACACAGGACTTTCTGGAAAACACTACCAGTGCAATCCTGTGCACATCTACCTAGAAGTATGCCCCACTGAGTTCAATAGGGTTACTCCCATGTAAGGGGATAAGCATGCAGCTTAAATGATGCTCAGAGAAAAAAGCAAAGCACTGTGATCTGCTCAGGATCTTTTTTCACCTGGACTTACTTGATACATACCAGGGTTGAGTTCTTCCATTGACAATAGGTACCTATTGTCTGGGGCACCCTGGCACTAATTCAGTTTCTTGCCTTTGCTATCCTGTGATTTTAGTGATCTGTACAACTGTCCACATCTGGTCATGTAATCAGTTCCTCATAATCGCATCTCAGCAATCTGGGTTAATGTTTAAAAGGAAAAGAACTCACATTCAGTTTACAATCCCAACCTGAAAACAAGACTGTGACTCAATGGAGGAGCAGTTGCTTTGCACACAGAAGTCCCTGCTTCAGTCCTTGGCATCCCCACGCAGGGCCAGATTGTCCCTGCCTGAAACCTGGAGAGCTGCTGCAAGTCACTGTTGACAATACTGGGCTAGATGGACCAGTAATCTAAGTGGGTGTAAAGCAGCTTCCTATAGCCTTTGTTTTTTTGATCTTTTGAGTTGGCTTCATATGCATGTAACAGAGCATACTCTTTGTTCTGTAATCTGGGAAACAGAAATGTATGTGATTTTAATTTTCCTCTGTAGTCACTTCAGGGATTGGATACACTACCAGTTACAGTTAGACCAATGCGGAACTATGGTCATACAAAGGAATGCCAGACTTGGTGGAGTGTGGATTGACGCTGACTATTGACAGTAGAAAAGAGCTGGTTGGCATAAAGAGTAGGCTGGGGAAATGTATGCACAAGATAGCAGGTTATTTAGCAAGCTGTTATGAAATATACAGTCTGCATTCAGAAATTATAATTCAAAACAAGAGAACAATCCAAGCTGAATTATATTGTAAATGCTTCAAGAGTTGCTGCCTGTCAGCAATATAGCAATATCAGTTGTAGATATTTCAGTGGGAAGTAACTTCTTTATTAAGGCTATGGCAAGAACCCTCCTGTATTTTCAGTGTTCAAATTTATCTGCATTTGTACCAGGAAATGGTTTTTGGTGGCAGTGTGTAAGCAAATGTAACCTACCTGCTTTGTCAGGGCAGGATGGAAATAGGTCTGGTAGAAATGAATCTGCAAGCCAAAACAGACATGATTTTAAAGCCTTACTTAGCAACAACGTGTGTGAGGGGAGAGGGGATTATTCTAAGGTAGGTGTATGGGGGTTGATCCAGCTTTTACCACCACCACCCCTGGTGGATTAGGAGATTCTGCACCTTTGCTACAGTAAAAATAGGAGACATATCTGATAAATTGGGAATTCGTTGTGCCAGTTTTGGTTCTGTGATTTACACCAAGGATAAAATAATAGGTATAATTTGCACGTAAATGACAGCAAGAAAGTTGGGTTTATAAATTGCTACCATTTTGAGCATTGTTTTAAAATAGTCTGGGTGTTTTCAGGCAAGGCTTTTATTGTGAAATTGCCATATCTCATTCGCAGAATTTTATGAAAGGTCCAGACAGGAGCAGAACCCATTTGCAGCCTTCCTAAGTATTTTCACAGCTTTCATTTCCTATACCATAGCATACAAACTTGAGAAAAGGGGGAAATTAGCAGCTTAATGGCCTGGCTACAGTAAACAAGTGCCTACTAGTGCTCTGGAGACTTCTCAGAAAAATCCGAAGCTTCTCTTGAGAATTTTTCTAAAAGATCCAGAAGGATAATTCCCCAAAAAGATCCAAACTGGGATAAACAGATTTTACCAATCAAGTAAAAATAAATGAGGTTGATCCAGTCATGAGAACATATGCTGCACAGTATTAGGACAAGGATTCATCCAGTCTGGCATTCTGTTGCTACAGTGCCCAGCTACACACAAAGGAGAATGCAGTCGCACCTGCTGGAGCCAACAACCAGCACCATCACACTAGATCACACGAGGTAATAATTCATGGTTGTTTTGAAACAGATATTCTGAAGAAAGTTATGATTTTAAGATATTCATGGAATCAACAGCTGATTTCTTCTCTATCTAATAGTCAGCTAGTTCCAGCAACGGGATGAAGTGAGAGGGGAAATGAATGGCTTGTCCCATTCTGTCATTAGAACAAAAAGATAGATATCTGAGTTGTTACTATCACTACTGGACCTGCTTTCTAGAGCAACCTGATAAAAATATAATTTTAAATCCTAGACTCTCAACCTGGATAAGCCATAGGCGAAGGTGTGGTGGATAGGAACCTGTTTAGGAAGATGATCTCCCATCTATTTTGTTTTAGTATTTATATGCTAGTTTTGTATCAAGACAATCCAAGTACCTGAAAACAAAATTGGAAAAATTACACTTGGAGAGCAGCAGCAGGTAAACAGAGGCAAAGTATGACTCCAACTGATCTGATCATACTGAATAAGCTATTGAATAACAACATAGGGACAAGCAAAGAGGAAAACTAGTGGATGGTGCCCAGAAGGAAATTCCACAGTTGTAGCATCACCCCAAGAAGGCCCTAGCTCTCATTGGCATGATATGAGTTGCCCAGATAAACCAGGGGGAAGCCGAGTGGCCTGCGTCTGACAGAAGCAGAGAAACTACAGCCAGGCTTTTCATCTCAAACTTTTATTCAGTGGTGAAAGGATTTGACTAAGTTCAAGAAAACTTGAATTTGGAAAGTATGGTGCATTTTCCTTTGACAGAAATGGTTTCACTCCCATTATGTCTCCCCACACTTAGAGCAGAGGCAAATTAGATATTCTTGAATCTAGCAATAATGTACCCACAAGATGCTGTTTTCTTTTAAAATCAGTATTAAGCATATCTTGCAACATAATGCTACCATGTTTCCATTAAGTGTTATATTGCTGTTGTGTCAATATGGTCATTGCATGTTTAATATTGTACTCATATTAATACCTCATTTTTACCTCATGTCTTGTTATCACTCAAAAACCCCATGTAAATATATACTTGGGAGCTGAATAAAAGAATACATGCTGAAGGTTTAGATTTACTTCCAATATCATGTTTGTTTTATTTTATGATGAATAATTGTCAGTAGATTATTTGAGAGTTCTCTCCATTCCTTGCCCAGCTATTTGTAAAATATAATCTAATACCTTACTATATTACATTTACATTCAGGTGGCTCATACTTTCCTTTTTTTTTTTTTTTTTTTTTTGTGGTGGGGGAGGTCAGGAGAAACAGCTGCAAAATGATATAGTAAAGTGTAGAGTATGAGTATGAAAATTTGTTAAAATTTAGAGCAGGTGTGGTATGGTGCGTGTGTGGTGTGGGTTTCTCATTAAAGTAAAAAAGGTGAGATATGCATGCAATGTAATTAAGTTTTACAGAAACAATGCTGAGCACAAAATCCTATTAATCAGAAAGTGTTCATATTGCTGCCTAAAATTTTTATACCAGACTGATGAAGATACCCCACAGAGCCCAGCTCAGTTCCACCAGTGATTCCACCAAACCTCTCAGCAATTTATTACAGTTTTCATTTTTACCAATCTATCCCAAGAGCACCAGGCTTGTCATTGGAAAAAGCAGCCGTACCTTAATTAGAAAATCATTTTCTACACTGCAGTGTAAAATCAAATGTTTGTTATTGAAAAAAAATTCCTCCCCTTCCACAGGGGACTGTCCCGGGATACTTACGAATCCTGTTGCCCTCTGCATCTTAGGCTCCGCATGCTATGCAGGGTAGTACTTTTCACATGACATTACTCTCCAACAATGGCTTCCAAGTACTGCCGGTGTACTCCGGCTGTATCTGTACTATTGGCCACTGCTGTGTGTTTTTTATCTTCTACTATTAGTATATTTCCATGAACTTGAGAAGGCCATGCAGTCCAGTACTGTATAACCACAGTGCCAAACCAAATGCTTATGTGAAGTCTACAAAGTCAGATTGACTCCAATACTTCAGGTCACACATAGCCATCACAACCAGTAGCTATGGATAGCCTATAGACTTCTCCTCTGTAAATGTGCTGAATTCCAAGATGATGGCGGTAAGTATATCTTCTAGTAGTGAATTTCATAGTTTAATTAGGTGCTGTGTAATGAAATACATCCATCCTGAATCTGCCACCATATGGCTTTAGTGGATGAGTCCTGGGTTGAAAGAAAGAAAGAAACATTATGAAAGACATATTTTTCACCTTATCCACTTTCTTTCTACCATGCACAATTTATACACCTGAATTACGTCTGCCCTGACTTGCCTTTTTCTAAGCTGAACTGTCCCTGATGTTGTAACCTTTCCTCCTGGAGGAGTTTCTCCAGCACCATCATCATTTCTTGCAACTTTTCTGCACCACAGTATATTCTTGAGGTTAAGTGACTAGAACAGTAAATGCTCTGCTTTTCTCAGAATATCCATTTGCTCTCATAGATGCCAACAGGTGCTATGTGGTTTGCAACAAAAATAATAAGGCAGCATAACCTTGAATTGTGAGTGGAAACAACTTCTATTTCACCATCAACAGAAATTAGTAGAAGATCACAGGGCATATGATGAATGCAAGGATACAGGCAAAATTCTTTTCTGTTGTTGTTTTTAAAGAATAGTGACATGACTCCAGGCAGGGTAAGATAATGGCTGTTATGAGAAATTTTACAGGACATTTCCCTGAAGAAATTGAAGGAAAGTTAAGATTTCTTTGATGAAGCACTAACTATCACACAGAGAATCCAGGAAATAAAATGCTAATCACTAGTAGAATATAGAATGAAGTGGGGTTGGATTCAGTGCCTTGCATGAACTATGGTGCAAAAATACAGAAATTTCATTTATGGGCCCTTTCAAAAGGAATATCCAGTGACAGGCATTCCACATAAAGGTAAAATAATTGGTAAAACAATACCATCTATTCTGTGACTTTCTGGTCATGAGAAGAGCTTCTCCTTATAGACAAAAATGGAGCTGCCTTATATCAGGGTATTTGTCCATCTAACCAGGTATCATCATGTCAACTGCAAATGTCTTTCCCAGAGGTCTTGACCAATGGTCTTTTCCATCAACTTCTACCTGCTCCTTTTAACCAGAGATGCCAAGCATTGGAGCTGGGGCATCCTACTTATGAAGTCCCCCAATGCATGGCAGCTGAAGTTCAGCTTTGGGCACTAGAACACAGTGTTCCTCCTTAGCTTTCCCAGCATGGCCAATGGACAGGGATGACGGGGGTTGCTGTCCAACCACATCTTTGTCCCCATTGTAGCGGTCATTTCCCATTAGCAGCTCACCTCCTACAGTGCATGGCCTACCTACAATATTCTCCACTGTGTTCAATGGCTTCATTTGCTGAAATGTCTATCCAGTCTTCTAGTGTATCCTAGAAATGTCTAGTCCCAGCCATGCCTGGTGTTGATCCTGCAATGCATGGTATTAATTTTGTTTGGATTCTTGTTCTTTCACAGCTCTGTGATACACAGAATTACAGGTACATCTCCTTGTAACAAAAAGTGTCATCTGCAGAATTTCTACCGAACAAGCATGTACCAGATGCAAACGTCCCGCTGGTCTGGGGGGTGGAGGGTGGGGGGGGGTGGCATCCCTAGCTGCTCCTTCCTTCCTCATCACTATTTCTCCAGTTAGCTGCTTAGTCATGCATGCTGAGCGATACAGACATGAAATGGCCCTGGCTGTAGTATTTTGGATCCCAAAGGAACAGCTGCTAAGCAGGGAGGTTCACTCCTGTATTTTCTTACTTGCTAAGGATGAAAGCGGATATGACATTCATAGCACGAGTGCAATATGTGAGACCACTTTTTGCACCACACCCAGACAATGTGAGATCCCTGAGCAGGATCAGCACTACAGCAGGCTGGGAGAAGAGTTTAACCTTTTCCTACATCAAGACCCCAGTGAAAATCACACACACAGGGCTGCCATTAGCCTTTGGAGGGCAACTTCACTTGGCACCATTGAACAATGCCAGTCCTAATCATTTCAGATCCAAAGAAACAGCCACATTCTAGGAAAATATTGAGGATTAAATGTATTCATGTGTACACCTTTAGTGCAACCTGGGCTATATATATATCATGCCAGGAATCAAAATATAACGACAAAGCCCATTTGAAAATAATCATAAATTGGAAAGCAGCTCCTTCAACTCTTCCAAAAAAAGCAGCAGTAACTGCAGAATTGCAGAGGTATATTAGTTCCTCCAGAGATAGAATTTTTCTCATCCAATGGAGCATGGAACACATTATTTATATGTGCTTCTTGATTAAAATTATGGAGACTGCAAAGCCCATAGCTACTTATCATAGCTTTCTTATTAGTAACCAAAGACTACAACTGTTCATTAGATGTACTGTTCACAGTGGGTGAGGCTGGTGGAAAAGCAAGGCAGGAAGAAATTACTGTGGCATCTGGAAATGTTGGACCCCATGTCTTCTGCATACAAACTCTCATAACATATGCCCAGCTAATAAAGCAACTGTTTCTGATCTGATCTGATCTGATCTGATCTGTCACAGGGAGGCACCCTACCACCAAAACAGAAAATCAAGTTTGATTTTTATATTTAACTTTTCACAGTGGCACCAAACATGAGTCAGCCCCATAAGAAATGCCCTGGAATGATAGGAGAGAAAAAGCTGACAAACCTAGTATTAAGATACCCTACTATTTTAGAAATCCTTATTACCCATAGTGTGGGATGTTTAAGAGGGTTCTCATCAGATGCACAAATTTTCTTAACCATAGAGGGCAACTGTGGACTGTCTCTCCATGGAACAGAAGCATCTCAGAAACTGGATGCAAGCACCATCTGGTTCACTACATTGTTTTCTATGTGTAAGTTAATGTTCTTTTACTTGAGGCCAGTTCATACCATTGTATATGTTTGTGATGGTTCTCAGAGGCGGCTTGAGATGATAATGTGCCAAGAACAGAGCTTCTGTGTGCAATGTCCACAAAAGGTCCTGCATCTGTGAACATAAAAGGGTGGCGGATGGAATCTTTCACACCACTCACAATCTAGAATAGCTGAAACAAGGATGGTAAAAACCCTTCAACTGGTAGTCTTGATATAGGCTAACTGCCAGCAAAATGGAATGAAAGCTAATAGAACCTAGAACAAGCTTTACAAGGTTCCCTTACTCTCCTGTTGCATGTCACACCCATTTATTTCATTTCCATATCATCCAAGAGCCAAAGCTTCCTGGGCAGCTAACCACAGAATACCAGAAGGCAATACAATAAGCAGCATAACATTTCAATACAAAAATTAGAAATAGTATTTTTCAAAAGCTGAGCAACTACAACCAATTCAGGCATCTCTTCCCAGAAGCATGGCCTCCAAAATGGCAGCTCCAGCTTGCATGTAAGGCCTTTGTAGTGGGGAGCAACTGAGAGCACATGAGCTATATCAAAAATCAATGTATTTTTTGTATTTTTGTATTTAATGGTAATTTATTATGTACTATTGTATTTCAATGTATTTTATCATGTTGTAAGCCGCCCCGAGGTTTCAGCAAGGGGCGGCATAGAAATGTTATAATAATAATAATAATAATAATAATAATAATAATAATAATAATAATAATATTTCTAGCACGTTAGGACATCAGAACAAGGCCAGCCCTATCATTAGGCGGAGGTGATGAGCAGCACAGCAGGCAGGGCTGTGTGTGCCACTCAACCTGGCCTGTGGCCCTAGTCTGACCTTTTGATCTCAGGTTGGTAGAGGACATTGTCTCTTTCTCTTGTCATTGATATGATTGATTGATTTTATATTGGCTTTTATTATACTGCACTGGTACATGTGGGCTGTTATTAATTATTGTAATTTATTGTTGCTTCTCATTTTGGTCCTATTGTTTATTGTTTATACCACTCCATAGCCAACATTCATGGTGAGATTAACAATTTAAAAACATAAAACAGAGCATTAAATATACTATAAAGTTTAAAACTACAGTGTAAAATAGAAGTAAACACAAAAAGCTAATTTTATACTAAGAATTTAGCAGTCAAAAATTTACAATTAACCATGTCTA